GTGCATGGTTGTGCTCAAGGTGTCGTGTTCTAGTGCCTCATGTTTCTTTGCTAGATTTCATGGTTATTTCTTTATTATGGCTGAGTGCATGTGTCACTTGGGCTTCGGGTTGTGCATAATCGGGCTTCAGTTCGCGTATGGTTGTGCTCCAGGGGTTGTTTGTTTGGTTTGTTCATGCTAGGTTTGCAGTTACACAACTGGTCGGGGTCCGGTTACACAACTGGTCGGGCTCTGGTTACACAACTGGTCGGGCTCCGGTTACACAACTGGTCGGGCTCCGGGGGTGTCACTTGGGCTTCGGGTTGTGCATGGTCAGGCTTCGGTTCGTGCATGGTTGTGCTCAAGGTGTCGTGTTCTAGTGCCTCATGTTTCTTTGCTAGATTTCATGGTTGTTTCTTTATTATGGCTGAGTGCATGTGTCACTTGGGCTTCGGGTTGTGCATGGTCGGGCTTCAGTTCGTGTATGGTTGTGCTCCAGGGGTTGTTTGTTTGGTTCGTTCATGCTAGGTTTGCGGTTACACAACTGGTCGGGGTCCGGTTACACAACTGGTCGGGCTCTGGTTACACAACTGGTCGGGCTCCGGTTAAATAACTGGTCGGGCTCCGGGGGTGTCACTTGGGTTTCGGGTTGTGCATGGTCGGGCTTCGGTTCGTGCATGATTGTGCTCAAGGTGTCGTGTTCTAGTGCCTCATGTTTCTTTGCTAGATTTCATGGTTATTTCTTTATTATGGTTGAGTGCATGTGTCACTTGGGCTTCGGGTTGTGCATGGTTGGGCTTCAGTCGGTGTATGGTTGTGCTCCAGGGGTTGTTTGTTTGGTTCGTTCATGCTAGGTTTGCGGTTACACAACTGGTCGGGGTCCGGTTACACAACTGGTCGGGCTCTGGTTACACAACTGGTCGGGCTCTGGTTACACAACTGGTCGGGCTCCGGTTAAATAACTGGTCGGGCTCCGGGGGTGTCACTTGGGCTTCGGGTTGTGCATGGTCGGGCTTCGGTTCGTGCATGGTTGTGCTCAAGGTGTCGTGTTCTAGTGCCTCATGTTTCTTTGCTAGATTTCATGGTTGTTTCTTTATTATGGCTGAGTGCATGTGTATTTTCTAGGGCTCCATTGTTGTATTTTTGCAAAAGTTCCAGGTTTCTTTTTTTGTATAGGGCTCAATTGTTTCTTTGCTTTGACTCCAAAGTTAATTTTTAAGGCAAGGGGGGTGGCATTTCGTTAGGTAAGGCTAAGGAAGGGTTTCTCTGGTAGAGCTAGTGAGGGAGTTTGGCTGGGCTCTGGGGCTGTTTGTTTAGCTTGGTGGGGGTTGGATGAAATTTTGCTTGCATTGCTTTGCACTTACACAACTGGTCAGGCTCCGGTTACACAACTGGTCGGGCTCCAGTTACACAACTGGTCGGGCTCCGGTTAAATAACTGGTCGGGCTCCGTGGGTGTCACTTGGGCTTCGGGTTGTGCATGATTGGGTTTCAGTTCGTGCATGGTTGTGCTCCAGAGGTTGTTTGGTTCGTTCATGCTAGGCTTGCGGTTACACAACTGGTCGGGCTCCGATTACACAACTGGTCGGGCTCCGGTTACACAACTGGTCGGTCTCCGGTTAAATAACTGGTCGGGCTCCGGGGGTGTCACTTGGGCTTCGGGTTGTGGATGGTCGGGCTTCGGTTCGTGCATGGTTGTGCTCAAGGGGTTGTTTGCTTGGTTCATTCATGCTAGACTTGCGGTTTCATAACTGGTCGGGGTTCGGTTACACAACTGGTTGAGGTCCAGTTACACAACTGGTCGGGCTCTGGTTAAATAACTAGTCGGGCTCTGGGGGGTGTCATTTGGGCTTAGGTTCGTGCACGGTTGTGCTCCAGAGGTTGTTTGGTTCGTTCATGCTAGGCTTGCGGTTACACAACTGGTCGGGCTCCGATTACACAACTGGTCGGGCTCCGGTTACACAACTGGTCGGGCTCCGGTTAAATAACTGGTCGGGCTCCGGTTAAATAACTGGTCGGGCTCCGGTTACACAACTGGTCGGGCTCCGGTTAAATAACTGGTCGGGCTCCGGTTAAATAACTGGTCGGGCTCCGGGGGTGTCACTTGGGCTTCGGGTTGTGCATGGTCGGGCTTCAGTTCGTGTATGGTTGTGCTCCAGGGGTTGTTTGGTTCGTTCATGCTAGGTTTGCGGTTACACAACTGGTCGGGGTCTGGTTACACAACTGGTCGGGCTCCGGTTACACAACTGGCCGGGCTCCGGTTAAATAACTGGTCGGGCTCCGGGGGTGTCACTTGGGCTTCGGGTTGTGCATAGTCGGGCTTCGGTTCGTGCATGGTTGTGCTCAAGGTGTCGTGTTCTAGTGCCTTATGTTTCTTTGCTAGATTTCATGGTTGTTTCTTTATTATGGCTGAGTGCATGTGTATTTTCTAGGGCTCCATTGTTGTATTTTTGCAAAAGTTCCAGGTTTCTTTTATTGTATAGGGCTCAATTGTTTCTTTGCTTTGACTCCAAAGTTAATTTTTAAGGGAAGGGGGTCGCGTTTGTTAGGTAAGGCTAAGGAAGGGTTTGTTTGGTAGAGCTAGGGAGGGAGTTTGGCTGGGCTTTGGGGCTGATTGTTTGGCTTGGTGGGGGTTGGATGAAATTTTGCTTGCATTGCTTTGTACTTACACAACTGGTCGGGGTCCTGTTACACAACTGGTCGGGCTCCGGTTAAACAACTGGTCGGGGTCCTGTTACACTACTGGTGGGGCTTCGGTTACACAACTGTTCGGGGTCCATTTACACAACTGGTCGGGTTCTGGGGGTGTCACTTGAGCTTCAGGTTGTGCACACTCAGGCTTCAGTTCGTGTATGTTTGTGCTTTGGAAGTTGTTCGGTTCATTCATGCTAGGCTTGCGGTTACCCAACTGGTCGGGGTCCAGTTACGCAACTGGTCTAGGAATGATTACACAACTGGTCAGGCTCCGATTACAGTTCCGGTTACACAACTGGTCGGGCTCCGGTTACGTAACTGGTTGGGCTTCGAGGGGTGTTACTTGGGCTTCAGGTTGTGTGTATTCGGTCTTCGGTTCGTGCATGACTGTGCGTATTCGCGCTTCGGTTCATGCATGGTTGTGCTCCAGAGGTTTTGTTTGGTTCGTTCATGCTAGGCTTGCAGTTACTCAACTGGCTGGTGTCCGGTTACACAACTGGTCGGGCTTCGGGGTGCACAATAAACTACCACTTGCTAAATTGTTACGAACAAAGGTTAGGGAAAGGATAGGTCCATTAAAACCCGAGACAGGTCATATAACGGATAATGACGAAGAGATGAGTAGTATTTTTAATAATTATTTTGTCTCTGTATTTACTAAAGAAGAACTTAACTCTATGCCTTCAGCCGAACAAGTCTATGTGGGTGGGGACGAGGACAGGTTGACTAGTCTAGCAGTTATAAGGGATGATAATATTAAACAAATAGTAAAATTCAAACCAAACAAATCCCCAGGGCCGGATGAAGTGTTTGCCAGGGTGCTTAAAGAATGAAGAGAGGAGCTTTGCGAGCCATTGTATACCATATTTAATAAATCATTAGTCAGGCAGAGTGCCAGAGTCATGGAAGGTTGCAAATGTGGTACAATTTTTAAGAAAGGAGATAGATCACTTGCATCAAACTATCGGTCAATTAGTCTAACGTCTATTGTGGGAAAGTTACTTCAATCGATAATTGCAAATAACATTTGTCTTAATTAATCTTGAAAAACATAAATTAATAAGAGTCACAACATGATTTTACAATCGGCCGTTCATGTTTAACAAATTTGCTATCTTTTTATTCCAGCATAGTTGAGGCAGTTGATAGTGGTAAGGATTGCGATGTCTTGACTTTAGCAAAGCTTTTGATAAAGTGCCACATGAAAGACTGATTAAAAAGATAGAGAGCCATTGGGGGTGCTATATTAAGTTGGATTAGGGCATGGCTATACCAAAAGAAACAGAGTTAGTATAAATGGGGTTAAGTCAGAGTGGGAATATGTTGTAAGTGGAGTGCCTCAAGGCTCATCTTGGGACCTCTGTTTATAATATATATAAATGATTTAAATTTAGGTTTGAGTAGCAACATTTGCAAATTTGCCGATAATACATAAATCGGCTTCCTGTCCAGGTCAAGGCCACTAAAGAGATGGGAGCCCGCGGATAAACACGTAAACAAATAAACAAAGGAAACTCAATTATACTTTAGTTTATCATATATCAGTAGCCAAAGAAAATCGTAACTGTTCTTGTGCGGCAAGCGAGCACACCGCGGCTCTACAACAACAACCTCCCTGCAAAGGTTCCGGATCGCGAAGAAGAGGTTTATGGGAGGAGAGGTTTATTCATTGATTTATTTTTATATACAAGAAGGGACATTGGGTTTATGAGAGTACAGAGCATTGAAGTTTGACATTCTTGTAAAGCCACTAGTACGCATAGTGTTTCGGGCAGGTCCTTAATCTAACAGATAATTTTAAGTAGGTAAATTCTAGCAGAATTTATAAAATAATTTATAAACTAACAGGTACATTGCAAGAAAAAAATTAGATGAGAGAGACAGTAGGTATATTAAAGCACATCGGTAGCTCTGATTGATTGCATTGACAGTTTGATTGGTAATTTAACAAAGATTGATAGGCATAATACAACATATTGATGGCACATATAAGAAGACAGCAATGATCATAATGGTAAAGTTGTTTGGATTAGGTACATAAATATTGGGAGATTGGGAAGCACTAGATACAGTGCAATTTTAAAGCACAAGGAAGGAAACTATGAAGATGAAATTTAAAAGGTAATTTTTAGCAAAATTAACAAAAAATGTTTACAGGTAAGTTGTATGTAAGTATAAAAATGCATCGTAAGAAAGTATAAAAAAAAATGCACTGTATAGTAAAGTAGATTTTATTCGGGAAAGTACATACATAGTTGATTTACAAACATAATGTTGGATTTATAGATAAAGCTAGTACATACAATACCTAAAGCCACTAGTACCCATAGCATTTTGGGCAAGGTGAGGTGGGGAAAAAACATTTAGACTAAAACTTAATAGTAATTGAGCTTAAAGCTTATAGCTTATTGAGCTTCCCCGCACTAAGCACTCATTAAAAAACTTTTTTATAGTACATGTAGTTTGCATAAAGGGTTACTCCTGATGGTTGCACAAATTAAATTCCTTGCCTGCACCAGGATCGACATTTCACATTCGGTCTAATGCTGAAGCTAACCCTAACTCACAACGTTAGCACTCACTTCTGCAAGAGTAAATGTCTCTTGGATATCAGCCACATCGCAGCAGCTCTGGGACACTGGTAGATAATACCTCTCAGTGCGTTAAGTCACCGCACTGAGCCTATATGGCCATTCTGAAGGTGCCAATCCTGATTCAACCTCTTTTCCTTGTACTGTAATAATAATTTATTTTGACAAAACATACATAGACTACAAGAACAGTGGAGGATTCCTAGGTAAGACAGTAAAATGTCTTACCTAGGAATCTACTGAAGCACTTTTTTTAAAGCCACTAATGTGCAAAGCATTTCTAAAGCCACTAATATGCAGAGTTGATCAACTGTAAACTATAGTGCAGTACATGTAAATAACCGTCATTTAACTACTTAACCCTAGTACAGTACAGTACTGAGGAACTGAATAGCTCTTACTGACAATAGTTTTGGGTGCATCTCAAAGCAGTTGATGGTATATTAGTAGTAATTTAATTTTAAGTTTATACAGTGTCTGAATATACATGTCATTAATATTACTAAAATTATCTTGATAGAATTTCTTGTTTTTCAGATACTGTAATCAATAGTTCATCATGACGTCTGTGAGTGACAGAGCCAAAATATTTACCAATGATCCTGTTAAACTTCATTCTATGGTCCACTGCCGAGTTACAGTGACTAGCACAGACCTCAAGGAGCACACTGGCTGGGTTCATACTATAGACCCAGTATCTGAGAGGTAAAGAAATATTACAATAATGTTGAGGGTAAAAATTGTATGGTGTGAATCATTTTCTATTAAATTTATAAAGGGTTTATAATGTTTGTTTTTTATATGCTAACCTTTAGGAACAAAGGTTTTCTTTAAAGTTCATAGTCTTGGGTGAATAATTTTACTTTCATAGAGGAAATTTCTGTTCTGACCTTATCCCCTTATAAAATTACCACTGCCACCTCACTGTCCTCCTCCCATCAAAATTGCCTCATCCTCCATAATTATCACCACATCCACCTCCTAAAACAATAGTACATCCTCTTCCAACAATATCAGAACAATTACCACCTCTAACACAACTGCCTCTTTCTCCACTTCCTCCGATACTATTACAATCAACAGCACCTCTACCTTCTATCCCTCCTTCCCTCCCTTCTTCTTTCACCCTCACCAACCAACACTGCCAGTGAACCCAATCCACCCACCCCCACAACCAACACCATTGTAACCTCCACCACTGCTGCTACAATCACCACCACCATTACAAATTACTGCAGCAAACCACCATTTTCACTGCAATGACAAATACTGTACTATCATTATATCCACTATTATCACTGCAGTCACAACCAACCCACCACACCCATTGAACCTTAAATTACATTCACCACTATTAACCACCAGCACTACAAATTTCCACTGTAACCACCACACTGCCACAGTAATCACCACAACTGTCACCACAGCTACTGCAGTCACAACACCTTTCTTGTAATTTTTGTATTCCCAGTGTTTCTTACGCCAACTCGTACACATTGCACTGCCCGTAGTCGTCAAACCATCTGTACTTGCTTAACTAACCTCTTCTTGTTGAGCTGTGGATCCAGGTACACCATTATTGATCACCCTTATGCAATTGAACCATACCTAGTTTGTATATGTTTTAGAATTATAGTTTTCTAGCATCTATTCTATGCCTAAAGTCATAATTTGTTTAGAACTTTAAAAAACATTATTAATTTTAAAGTTATTTCTTTACAGCAGAATTGTGGAATGTTGGGATAAATTACCAGAGAATGTAATAAATGGGAGCACAACAAATACATTTAAGAATGGATGGATTGGTTGCTCACTTCCATTTAATAAATTTCAATTATGTGAATGTAGTCAGAAAAAATCTCAACAAAGTTGAGATTTACTATTGGATATTAGGTCTCCTGTTATCTATGAAGCCTATGTACTGTAATTGTAAATAGTTTCTCTCTTTTCAGTGTAGTTCTTGTTGAATTTGGAGTCGGTGGCAAGCATGAAGTAATCATTGTGTCAGGCTACAATGTGGAAAACATTAAAGTTATTGACAGTAGTCCTCCACCAGGGCTTGCTTCCGATATTGACAGCATCTTCAGAAAGGAGCAGGTAATTTAAGTGATTAATTTTTAAGGTTTATTTTCTCAAGAATAATAGATAATTATAATAACCCAAACGACTCTTACAACACTATGGTGGGGCTTTAGTACTTAGCTTGAGCGACGGTCTCGCTTCATGTAGGTCGGCGTTCAATCCCTGACCGTCCGAGTGGTTGGGCACCATTCCTTCCCCCCGTCCCATCCCAAATCCTTATTCTGACCCCTTCCAAGTGCTATATAGTCATAAAGACTTGGTACTTTCCCCATGATAGTTCCATTCCATTCAGGCACCTGATAAGGTCTTCTGTGCCAGACTGACTGCCAACAGCAGAGCTCTGGAGCTCCAGAAAGTTAAACCTCTACCAATGTCCCACCTGGTTTGCATTCAGGTTTGAACATAAGTGCTACTAAAAGGTTTACTTCCTATATTCTTCAGAGATGTTGACCCTGATCCTGTTGCTGCCCATTTACCAATGTCGTGAACAAGGTAGATAACTTTCAAGTGAAAAGTGTCAGAGTAGAGGTCTTGGATGATCTGCTATTTAACACCAGGTTTTCAGAACTGCGAATTCACAAAATAAAGATTAGGAACATGGATCTGCTTACCTTCCTCAATGGGAGAAAGGTAGGCAGTGTCTGTCTGTTTAACTTCAAGTCTAAAGCATCCCACCTGGCCTTTTTAGTCATGAGTGCCTACTGGAGACTAGGATTGGGTCCCCTTAATAGAGGCAGGGGAGTCTGGATACAAGATCAACCCAGGCCAAAAGAAAAAACACCAGAAAGATACCTTTGGCCCAAAACAAGCAACTGCATGAAAAACACTGGTAACCCTGGCAAAGACAATGTACACTCATTGTTCAGACGTATCAGTTAGTTAGCAACACTCACCTGTCACCAGAGGGACCTTGCAGGGGGAAGCAACTAAAAGACACACGATGACAACAGACTGAGGGGACACTGGCCCACGAAGGCCACACAGAAAGAATGGTGAGCCTCATTTCCCCACAGCTATTTCAGCTTGATGGGGAGAGCTACCTAACTACTTGGCCACACTGTTTCTATAAATCAAATCATCATTAGGTAACAACTCTGATGTAAATGACAATGAATTATTGCCATTACACATCCTGTGATACTGCACCAAAGTTTCTTATTCACCTTAGTGCAGATATTTAATACACACAGCAATTTTATTTATTGAATCTATTTTTCCAACAGTACTTTTACATTAAGTTTGCTTTACTGTTGTTTCTTACAGGTTCAATATAGCAGCCAAGAGCTGAAAGCAAGGCGAGAGTCTCTGTGTGTGTGGTTGTCAGATAATCGTGTCCCTTACACAGTGAAAGAGGACATGAGTATACAGGTAAGGTTTATTTCTCCAATTTTAATTTTAGATGACAGTGCTATTTTTTAATATTTTGAGGTAAATTAATTGCTCTAGTTTAACACCTACTGTACAGCATTTTACCATTTTTAGTATTGTGGTAAAAACTATATTGTATTAAAATTAGAAACTTGCTAATTTGTTACATAAAACAGTAAGGCTGAAGACAGCACAGCAGTTTGACCTACTTTATAGAGAAACACCAAGCTTAGAGACTTTCTTTATAGATGACATTTTTTACTGTACAGTACTGTATATGTATAATTTAAGGCTGCAACCTAATTAGTTTATAATCTTCAAGGATACTTTAATCTTACCAGAGTTCAAGACTACATAATGTATCTTGAGAAATACACTTCTTGTGCGGTGTACTTGTAAGCAAGTTTGGAGTTTATGCTCTGTTAATATAAAGTTGTATGTTAGAAAAATGTTGGTAATTGGCTAAGTAACCAAAGACAAGTAACCCCTTTTTATTTATTTATTTATTTATATACAAGAAGGTACATTGGGTTTGTGAGAATACATAGCATAGTATTTACAATCTTGTAAAGCCACTAGTACGTGCAGCGTACTTGTCATGCATGTGATGCTAGACATGTTTGTCATGAAACTTGTCATGTATGTGATGCTCCTGTCTCTCTGCTACTTAGCATTTGGGCTCTTCTTTTCACAGTTACTTAGTATCTGGGATGAAACTTTAGGTGGTGCTTTATGTGGTTTTAAATTAAGAGGATGACATCAAGTGATCTTTTGTCGCATTGCTGGTAATTATCAGCAAACTGACATCTTTTGTGTATTTGTTTTCTTTAGACTTTCTCAGCACTGTACTCTGTGTAAAAGGAACTTTTTTTTTAATGCAGCAATAATACTAATTTCAATTTTTTTATATGTATAATAGGTTTTAATACATATTCGTAAAAGTATTATTATTACTGAAGCAAAAAGTTATAATATACAGTATAACAAGAGTGAAAATGAGAAAAGAAATTATGCTTGTACTGTATGTTGCTGCTTTGAAAATCCAGGTCATTTCATTCCAGATCCAATCCAGATTTCAAAGATGTTGGTTTTTGAGGTATTTGTCACCCTTTAAATAATATACTTTACTTATTTGCTCTTGGACCCTGAGCCCTGTGGATACTGTGTGAAAACCTGTGATTTTATACAGAGTCCTTTTGTTCACTCAATAGGAAAATTATATTCACATAGTACATGAGTTTACTAACTTAAATTTTGTTGTTTCAGGTGTTGACGGCAGCAGTAATATCAAAACCATACAAGCCTGAATCTGTGCAGTGTACGAATGAAGTTGTTTTGGGCAAGGTGATGGATTTGGTCCGACATATGCCTGCCCCAAGCAACACTATGGGCAAGGATAACATGTCTATGTGAGCTTTGGTGTGCAGTGGGCATTGTTTAATAAAATATATATTCCGAGAGATGTATGGAGTATCTTTAACACTTTCTGCCCTTGATCAGTAATATCTTTGCAAGTGTTGTATTAACAGTTTGAAGATGTTTTGGGAAAAAAAATAAATGATAAAAGTTATTGTACTGAGCATATAGTGCAAGTATTGTTACCGAGAAAAGTAATATGTACCTAATAACTGTTTGCTGTAATACACTTAATAGTTGCTAATGTCAATAATTTCAAATCTGACCTGTCAAAATGTCATCAGAGATGAGAAGTAAAATACCCTACAAGTAGCGTTTGATGTTGATTGGGAAGTGGTCGCTGTTATGGAGTTTGTTGAGCATTTGCCAGGTTTGTTATAGCTGTGGTACTTGGAAGAGTATAAATATCTAATATATTTAAGAGTTATTTGATACCAAGGGTCTGTGCAAGTCGACTCATTAGTATAGAAGTTGCTAATAATGGAGAAAAGATAAACTAAATGCTTCTAAAATGGCTTCATGGGTGTTTGTCATTTATCCCATAAAGCATGTCTTCAGTTCAAATCTAAAAGTATTAGATTAGATTTGGTCATGAGGAAGGCAAAGATGCAATTATTGAGGTGTAAACCAAGTATAGGCATAAATACATGTATCAGTGACAAATTTATTGTATGCAGATGATACACTTCTTCTAGCACAGTGAAATTATTGCCAAGTGTGAGAGAAGACTCAATGTTGAATATAAACAATAGTAACATTGTGGTAGCAGATGATGAAGAAAATTGTGTATAATAAATGTGAATGTTTAAGTATTATAAGTAATTCATCAGTTAATTACTTGGTATTTGTAAATACTAATAAAGAAATTTATATAAGTAAGGAAGATAGATAGAAGTGGCAGATGTAAAGAAAGCTGGTTTGAAAAGTAAGCAAGTAAGTAATTATCAAAAGAAGGCACCAAACCGGGAAGGCTATGTAGCACCATCAAATACGCAAAATAATCAGAGGGCGCTAAATATCACCAAGGATGCCAATACGAGAACAAAAACGCATAAGGCGAACGATATCAAAAGTATCCGAGTCACCAAGAATTCTATCGAGGGACAGGTGACCGCGAGGGGCGGTCGGAAAGCAAGACACACGCTCGTCCTGGAAGTCAGGACATTCAAGAAGGACATGCACGACCGTAAGAGGGACAATGCAACTAGGACAATAAGGAGCAGGGCGGCGCTCCATCAAGTGACCATGGGTTAAGCGAGTATGGCCAATACGCAACCTCGCTAGAGCTGTTTCCCACCGCCGGTTACGGTGGAAGGAGGACGGCCACGAGGAAACACAACATTTAAGAGTACGTAGCTTGTTACCAGTAACAGACAACCAAGAAGCCTGCCAACGGGTAAGGACTGAGGAATGGATAACCGGGTAAAAGTCGGAATACGGAATGCCTTTACGAGAGATGGGACAAGAGCGGACAGCTTCCTTAGCGGCAGCATCCGCACGCTCATTTAAAGACACGCCAATATGGCTGGGAACCCAACAAAACTCAACCGACTTAAATTTACTGTGAACGAGAAACAGCCAATGCTGGATCTCGACAACTACCGGATGAACTGGATTAAAGCACCCGAGAGCCATGAGGGCACTACGAGAGTCAACAACAACCACAAAGGAAGACTGACAACGAGAAAGCAGGAGACGAAGAGCATAGAGAATAGCATAAAGTTCCGCTGTAAAGATGCTAGTCTCCGGAGGCAAGCGACACATATAAGTGCGATCAGGAAAAACAACAGAGTAGCCAACACCGTCCGCTGACTTAGACCCATCGGTGAAGACAGAAACGGAGCGGGAGTGAGAAGAAAAGTGCTCGAGGAAAAGGCGTTTGAGAACTGTAGGAGGGGTAAAAGCTTTAGTGATGCGAGTCAAGGATGTACAAAACCGCGGAAGAGGGACCCTCCACGGGGGCAAAGAAGGAACAACACGAGGAGAAACATCAGAAATACGAACGGAAAGAGAATCCTGCAGGCGAGATAACCGGACAGAAAGAGGGAGGTGGTGAAGAGGAACAGGAACCGCAGGAGGGGTAAAAGTTAAAGCACGACAGAGACGAGAGGAAGGATGTTGCAAGGACCGCGCAAGATACCGAAGACAGTAGCGATCACGGCGGTCCTGGAGAGACAGGAAGCCAGTGTCAACATACAAGCTAAGGACGGGAGTCGAACGAAAGGCACCAGAACTGAGGCGCAACCCAGTATGGTGCAAAGCATCAAGACGGCGAAGAGTAGAAGGAGAAGCAGACGAGTAAGCAGGGCAACCATAATCGAGCTTAGACAGGACGAGAGAGGAATGTAAAGCAAGGAGAGTGCGCCTATCTGCCCCCCAAGAAGTATGGGACAAGACCCGAAGGAGGGTAAGGGACTTAGAGCACTCAACACGGAGGTAAGAGATATGGGGAGACCAAGACAAACGAGTGTCAAGGAATAACCCCAAAAGCTTCGCGGAATCTTTGTATTCAAGGGGATGACCATAAAGTGACAAAGAGGGACGAAGAACAACCCGTTTCCGCGTAAAAGTCATGGCACAAGTCTTAGAAGTAGAGAGCTTGAAGCCATGACCTGTGGCCCAAGACGACACGGCATCAATCACAAGTTGAAGCCGGCGTTGAAGGAGAGGCGAATCATCACCCTGACAACAAAGGGTAAGATCATCGACATAGAGAGCGGAGAAGACACCAGAAGGAAGAGAGGAAAGAAGACCATTGAGGGCAACCAGAAAAAGAGTAGTGCTCAGAACACTACCCTGGGGCACACCTTCGTATTGCTGAAAAGGGGGAGAGAGAGCGGTACCAAGGCGCACCCGAAAGGAACGACGAGAGAGGAAGCTGCGGAGAAAGAGAGGGAGATGACCACGAAGGCCAAAAGAATGAAGTTGAGATAGGATATGATAACGCCAAGTGGTGTCGTAAGCCTTTTCTAGGTCAAAAAGGACGGCAACAACGGAGGTCTTCGCAGCAAAAGCAGTACGTATATAGACCTCCAAGTTCACCAGGACATCTGTCGTGCTGCGGCACTTGCGGAAACCAAATCGAGAAGGGGAGAGGAGGTGATGGTGTTCCAGGAACCACATCAGACGAACGTTAACCATACGTTCAAAGAGTTTGCAGACACAACTTGTGAGAGCAATAGGGCGAAAGTCCTTAGGGGAAGTACCCAGAGACCCTGGTTTGCGAACAGGGAGGACAACGGCATCGAGCCAGTCCTCAGGGACTGACGACGACTCCCAGATCCGATTATACAGACTCAGTAAATACTGAGACGTGCTCGGAGGGAGATGGCGAAGCATCTCATAATGAATACCATCGGAGCCCGCCGCCGTAGAACCGCAGAGGGCCAGGGCAGAACGAAGTTCAGAGAGAGAGAAGGGATCATTATAGGGAAGCTGAAGATGAGTGCAGAAATCTAAAGGACGAGACTCAAGGACAGGTTTACGAAGAAGGAAAGATTGGGGAAGATGAAGACCAGAGCTAACAGAAGAAAAGTGGGAACCCAGTTCGGAAGCGACCTGCAACGGGTCCGCCACAAGAGTATCATGGAGGTGAAGGACCGGTGAAACATCGGGAACGAACTTACCCGCTATCTTGCGGATACGCTTCCAGATCTGGGCCAGAGGGGTTTCGGACGTAATTGTCGAGACATAAGAAGCCCAACATTCACGTTTAGCCGTACGGATGGCCCTACGGGCCACCGCACTCGCTTTCCGAAAGAAAAGAAAAGAATCGGTCGTCTGCCTACGGCGGTGCTTCTTCCAGGCTGCACGCTTACAGCGGACAGCCCGAGCACAGTCCGCATTCCACCAGGGAACGCACTTCCGTGGACCCCGAGAGGAAGAGCGAGGAATAGAGCGGAGGGCAGCGTCGAAGACAGTGTCATGAAAAAGGAGGAGAGCGCGAGAGAGGGGCAGAAGGGAGAGGTCAGAGAGAGTAGCACTGAGGGAAAACAGGGTCCAGTCCGCCTTAGCAAACTGCCATCTAGGGAAAGAGAGGGAAGGGCGAAAAGAGAAAAAGGAAACAAGGATGGGGAAATGATCACTTCCATGGAGGTCATCAAGAACCTGCCATGTGAAATCTAAGTAAAGAGAAGAAGAGCAGAGAGAAAGATCAAGACAAGAAAGGGTGCGAGTTCGAGAGTCCAAATGAGTGGGCTCACCAGAATTCAGAAGAGACAGGGAAGAAGAGAGGAGAAACGGCTCAAGGAGGCGACCCCGGGTATTCGTCAGAACGTCACCCCAAAGAGAATGACGACAATTGAAGTCACCCAGCAGGAGCACAGGCTCCGGCAAGGAGTCTAGGAGGTGTTTCAAATCAGGAAGAGAGAGCGGGACACTCGGGGGGAGATAAATGGAACAAACTGTGTACCATTTCCCCACAAAGATACGAGCAGCAGAACAATGGAGAGGCGAAGGAAAAAGTAAAGGAACAAAGGGAACATCAGCCCGAATCAAGAGAGCAGAAGAATTAGAAGCCCCAGCAATGGCTGGGGGGGGGGGAGAGAAAGGAATAGCCACGAAAACGACCAGGACGAGCACCAAGCATCGGCTCCTGGAGACAGACACAAAGGGGCGAAAACCGCGAAACCAGAAGTTGGAGTTCGAGGAAATTGGCGTAATAACCTCGAACGTTCCATTGAAGAATGGACAACGACGAGAAGAGAAAGGACAAAAACAGAGAACAAGGAAGAAACAAAGGCGAAAGACCAACAGAGCAAGTTAAAGAATATCAGGGTCGGGATCAGGGTCAGCAAAGTCAGGGTTAGGGGGCATGGGTAAACTGAGCAAAGACGGAGGGAAGGAAACGGGAGAACAGATCAGAGGTGGGCGGGCAGGGTCCGGAGGAGGAGGAGGAGGAGGAGGAGACAACGGAGAGGAGCAGTCAAGGACAGCAGCAGGAAGAGGGGGAGTAGAAAGAGAGGAGAGCACCCCAGCAAGAGCAGCAACCGAAAGGGAAGCAGGGGCCAAAGAAACCTCCATAGCAGGAACAGGGGGCGCAAGCACTGAAACGGGAGTGGAAGGAGCAACAGAGCCAGAAGGAGGAGCTGAGGAAGAAAGCGAAGCCTTCTTACCCGCCGGGGAAGAGGAAGGAGAGGAGCCAGGCTTACGCTTCTGACTTAAAGAGACCGGTGTCCCAGCAACTACGTACCGGGCAACGGATTCCAGTGTCTCAACAGGAGAAGCCGAACGAGAGCACACACGACGGCCGTTAGGAGAGCGATGGACATCCGCCCGCACCGACAGGCGGCGGGGAGAGCCGATAGATGGAGGAAGAGGATGGGAAGGAGGATCGGAGGGGGACGAGGAAGGAGACACAGAAGACACGACAGACCGGGTAGAAGGAAGGGGAACCCCAGACAGAGGACCAGGAGGAGGATCCTTCGGGAGAGAACCCAAAGGGACAGAGGAGGGGGCAGTGGGCGCATCAGGGTCCAAGGCCTGGAAACGGTTGTGAGTCTGAGGAAGGCGGGAAGGACGAGGAGAGGAAGAGCGCAACACGCGAGCATAAGAGATATTAGCATAAGGCGGGAGCCGGCGAACCTGGCGCCTCGCCTCAGGAAAAGATAAACGCTCCCGGTGCTTCAAGTTGAGGACGGCTGCCTCAAGCTTGTAATGGACACACGCACGGGAGAAGGTAGGATGGGCCTCACCGCAGTTGAGGCAACGAGCCTGGGGAGAAGCGCACTCCGACTTAGAGTGACCTTCGCCACCACACAAAGGACAGAGAGAGACAGTCCCGGAGCAGCGGAGGGCACCATGCCCAAACCTCCAGCACTTGTTGCAGAGCCGAGGAGAAGGAATGTACTCCTGGACAGAGCACCTGGCACCAGCAAGAATGACAGAGGGTGGAAGGGTCCTACCATCAAAGGTAATCTTCACAACCCGGAGGGGTTGACGGCGACTACCACGAGGGGGACGAGTAAACGTGTCCACCTGGAGAATAGAATGGCCCTGGGCAGCGAGGATATGTCGAATATCGTCGTGGCAGTCGCGTAGGTCCCGAACACCGGTCGCAACATGGGGCGGGAGCAAAATAGTGCCAACACTGGCATTCAACTGGACGTTCTTCGAGACCCGAACGGGGGTCTCGCCAAGGCAGGATAAGGCAGCCAAGCGGGAAGCAGCATCCTGAGAAGGAGCAGCAACGACACGCGTACCGAGACGAGTGGGGTTAAAAGTAATGGAGGCATCCACGGAATCAATGAGATGTCGATGAAGGGAGAAATCGTCAGGAGGCGCAGAATCAAGAGGGAGGAGATCAAAATATTTGGCCCACGAAGCGGGACCAAACAAGGCTTGATAGGTAGCAGAACTGGAAGGAATCGAGCGAGGGCGGCCGTGACGAGAACGGCGGTGAGAACCCCCAGAGAGAGAGGGGTTAAAAGGCGCAGTAGCAACAACGAGAGAAGGAGCCGCGCCAGGGGACGAGGTAGTCACCACTGGGGGCTTGGGGCTCGACCCAACCACAGAGGAGGGAGGGGAGCCAGGGGAAGGAGTCAGAGAGGCCAAAGGAGGAGCAAGGTCGGGGCCCAATGCAGCGGAGGCTACAGAGCCCGGTCTTCCAATACGGACCGACTCGGGGGCTTGGTCGCCCACCCCACGAGCCTGAGAAGGTAAACCAGAAGAAGCCGAAGCAGGGGTAATCATCTTGACGAAAGAAGAATTCACTCACGAATGTGCCCCCACACCCACCATGGAGCCACAATTAGAGGCAGGACACCCAACAAGAAGCTATCGCCGATCTTGTCGGGGCCTCCTAGGGGTGCGTCGTGAGTATACGCCCCACAAACGCCACCTTAAGAAACCGACAGTCCGTCGAGATCGGGTTCAGTGACGAAGTGGGGATTGACAATAAAAGGTTCCCCTCGCTCTCGACGTCGGGTACTGCAGTTCTACGGGTGCAAGAGTATGCCTCCTCAAGCACCCGGGCGTCAAAATAGAAGAAGTCCAAGGGAAGAACCAGAACGAGCAAAAGGTCGGCAGGAAACGGCAAGCAGATAGGAGAAGAGGGGGGAGAAAAACGAAACAGAAGGAAAAGGAAAAGATGCCCAGCAGAATTGGAGAGGACGGCAGCAGGAGCACAAGGCTAGAAAAGGACAGGACTGTCCCAAGGAGCATCACACTCCGGCAGCCGCCCACCAAGCCCCCACACGGCGACAACGAGCTGAGCGGGGAGGGGGGAAAAGTAAGCAAGATATGAATAATCTGAGGAATGTGTAATCGTTACCTACAGATGCAAGATAATGCTGTGGAATGGACACGAAAACATCCCTAAGTTAGTGCGTTAGAACTAGATAATCTGAGATGCTTGTGATAGGAGGATAAAAGGAAGGAATGAAAATGTTATGGACTGCTGTGGAATGTAGAACTCGGTACACAGCTTAATCTTGTGGTTTATTGAGATTTGATGGGTTGGACCTGCTTAAATAAATGTGATATAGACTAAGGAAGAGAATGTTATTGAATTTGAGAGTAAAATGAGACGAAAATGATTGGAAGGTGAATAAATAGTGAATAATTTTTTACCAAAATTTATTATTATTCAGAAATATACATCTTATATTAATACAAAATATTATATTTTGACTTAAAAAATATTCAGATAAAAGGTTTATTAAGCAATATATAAATTCATTACTTTATAAAGCTTGTTTTGTGTATTAATTTTCTCAAAATTGGATTAAAACTAACAAAGTAGTAAAAGTAAGAACTCAAAAATTTAATTTTTTAATTTGAATTTATCGGACAAAATCTTTTTGTTTAGTCCGATTTCTCTCAAACCTAACTAAAAATTTAACTACAAATCTAGCTTTTATTATGACATTATTTTTGTCAACATAGTCCAGCAGATGGGAAGCATCTGTGTGTGTACAGTACTTGACACTTTACAAGTAGTACTGTACACCTGGTCATACGAAGGAGTGTACTGGGGCTTGTTTATATATAATAATGTAATATTTTCTTTCTAAATCATCTATAACCTTCACCACTACTGTATATTATATACCGTCTCCCCCTCTATATTATACCTTTCTATATACCTCTATTATACCTTTCTATATACTTCTATTATACCTTTCTATATACCTCTATTATACCTTTCTATATACCCTCTATATATACCTTTTCCCTCACTATATTATATACCTTCTCCCTCTTGGCTGTTGCCTCCCCACCCAAGGAAATGGGAAAAGGGATAATGATAGAATAAAAATTTAATGATATGACGTGAACAGGGAAGGACTACACATTTCATTTCAGAGGAAAGATAAATTGTAAAGCTAAAGTATCACTAAATTCTGTATAATCATCATGTCACATTGTATTCAAAGAGTTAACACTACAATGGAGAAGTCACATTTTAATTTAGTAAATTTATTGTGCTCCCTATGACTATCCTGTAATCAGTGGTGGAATGATTACAGCAGCACATAATGAACTTAGGAGCTGAACCATGAACATTCAATTAACTAAGCAAGTTACAACATTAATAAACTACTTAATAAGCTAACATGCACAGTCTCAATAGGCTCAGGCACTAAAACCCGTATTCATTACCTGAGCGCAAATTTGTAACAGAAAAAAGATATGGGTGGAAACTGTAAATGCTAATGTATTTTTTTTTTCTTTTAATTATCAGGAGAGAGTGCCAAGTCATTACGACTTTTTAGCACTTGGAAGGGGTCAGGATTAGGATTAGGGATGGGATGGGGAGAAGGAATGGTGCTCAACTACTTGGATGGTCGGGGATTGAATGCCGTCCTGCATGAAGTGAGACCGTCGCTCTACCGTCCAGTCAAAGTGGTTGTGCTAATGAGTAAAATTCAGGTAAGTAATTATATGCTGTATGGATAATCAAGTGGAATGCAATGGAATAAGTGAAAATACAATACAGAACTATACTGTAATATTAAAAGATTAAAAAAATAAATGAACCGGGTACAAAAAGTTAGGACGCAAAGTATAGAGAGCTGGACGTCATTTTCCAGTCACTGACAGTTAAGTACCATATAGTACTTATGTTTTGGAGTACACTGATAGCTCAAGATGATACTCTTGTTGGTCTGTCTACTATTGCCTCCTCATATGTTGGAGGTCTTTCTGCAAACAAAAGTGGATTTTAGTAAACTTTAATAGTGTTTTCCTGAAGTACAGTAATTTTTAAAAGGCATTAAACAAATTTACCAAACAATCTTAGGTCATTAATTCCTTCCTAATTGTACATACAATGCTGTTGATCCTTACACATCATCTATTGTTATTTTTCATAGCTATATTCAATATTTCAAATGCCTGACCTAATATTATATTGGGGTCATGATTAATATTATATAGCATTAATATTGACCATGCTGTATATATTGAGGCTTAAGCAAAACATATACAGTATGTATTTCTTAAATTATTTTCCCCTATTTCAAGACTGCATATCCAGTTATGTTTTTAAATTAATGCCCCCTCAGTAGCTCCCTCCCGAGTCATAACTAACTGGGTCCACCCAGGTCTCTGCTAACACAAAAATCTCGAGTTAACAAAAGTTTGTGCACATTTCTACATTACATAGCTATTTATGGCCATAAATACATATACAGTATTTTAATTAATGTGCACAAATGATTGATCTACAGTATATTTCTTTAGAAAGAAGAAATTAATAATTAATAATGTTTTTACAACAAATATGAAAAGTGAAATGTAACTTGATCACAGAGCCACTAATTATTTTGTTGTGGCACTGGGCTGTGTGGTAGAGCAGTGGATGTCTCATAAGCTACACCAACTTGTGAAGCACTGGGTTTTATTCCCGTGTCAATGTGATGCAGAAATAACAGATAAAATGATTTTCAGCTATTTTGGTTCAGGGATGATGCACCAGGATATCATTGAAACTTGGAAAAGTAGTCAACATTTATTTCTACTGAATATTTAAAGTACTAAATTTATTTGTAGGTATACTTGTTATGTTGGGATTTAGATGAAAGGTCAGGTACTGAAACCTTGTACTGCAGGTATGAGGTCAGGGTCTGGTACTTGTAAAAAAAGGAAATATGTTGAAATAATATATAACACTATTCCTCACCTTCATGTGGTAATGCAGAAACTTGTGCATCACAAACAGGTATAGGATTATCTGTTGACTGAGGAATGACACCAGTTTCATTCATCATTATAGTCACTGGATAATGTTTTTTGGTTTGAAAATGCCTGAAATTAGTAATTAAAATCATATGAATGGAAAATGATACCTACTTTGGTTTGAAAAGATTACAAAGTAAAAGTAAATTCAAAGAAAGAGATACTGTACTGGAGATCATGACAAAGTATCTAGAAATGGGTTGAATGCGCGAAGACTATTGCATATCACGAAACCTAATATGTAATACAGTACTGTATTCTTAAAAATACAAACTACAGGCAAGCCCTCATTCTACACACAGACGAGTTCCAAAACACTTCACTTTGGCATACAAGCAGGGCGAGATATTCAGGCATGTTCCCTTACACCTGACGTACCTGTTCATCTAGCAGTAAATATGTACCGTAGAGTTGTGAGTGTTGTGCGATGTAACCTTAGAGTGGTTTTCCTAGGAAAACTACTCTAAGGATACATATCGCTTCCTAGGAAAATCCCAATAGGGTAAAGTCACTCTCCTCTGGGCAACTAAGATAGTTGATTAAAACAAAGCTGTACCTGTATAAGGCTTTTACTAACAATTGACAATTTCTTACTTATGGTATAAAATCAAGAGAGATTTTCTATAAAACGATACTGGACTGGCACAGATGCTGTACAAGCAAAATCTATGTGGATATTAAACAAAAAATGGCTGCCTCTGGTAATTTATCACAAAACTAAAGGTGGGAGTCACCAAGAACATGCGAGTGTGACCCACTCATGCCATCTTCTCTTACGAAGATTACATGGGTGTAGACATAAGAAGTAGTGCTACTGCTGAGCTGCTGAAGTGCTAAGTTTACCTTTGTATGCCAAGCAGTAGCTATCTACACAGTGGTGATGTATATTACATCCCAGCTGTGCTAGTAATGTGTAAACATGCTCCGATTGTTCCAGATCCTGCTAACCACACCAGTAGGATCTTGCCTTGGGGAGCAATTTACTGCTATATAGCTCCAGAATAAAAGTATAATGTACCACTTGATATTATAGAATATTAGCACACACACACACACACACACATCTATTTTACCAAGGCCATGCTGTATATGCTGTACTTGTAGAGCCTATAGACAATGAAAGACAGTTATGTTAAAATGTTTGCACAAATATTAATTCTATACCTGTGATACAAGAATTCATAATGAATATTTACCTTAATACTGTATCTTTATCAAGGAAAGCTAGCTAAGCATTTGAGCGAACAACATTAATCAGACTAAGAAATCAAATACTGTAGTATTTTTATATGTAAAATATTTATGTAAAAAATATATATGTAAAATATATTATATATAAAATATATTTAATTTTTATATGTGAAGCAAGCTATTTGTATTGATATATGATTAAGGTATTATGAAAATAAAATATCTCACTCTCTGACTGTGCTCCTGATTTTTATGAACCAGAATATTATGATGATAATGCCACCGATGACACCCACTGCAATAGGTCCTGCAGGAGTCGTACTGCCACAATCACATACTTCTTCCTTCTTACGGTATTTGCACTCACTAGAAAAGGGGAAAAACTGCTAGGGTGCCCGATAAAAAATTTCAAATAAATAAACTCAAAATTGTTCTAATTTAATTGCCAAATTAATTAACTAATTTCTAATTTAACATGTACATTATACATAACATATACATTAGCATCAGAGAATGCCAATGTATATGTTATGTATAATGTACTTAACATTTTGTACAAAGAAATCAATATACACAAGTGTTAGTGTTATAGTACTCACTTTGGGCAGGCACAAGCTAAGTAGGAACACTGGAGACCACTAATACAGTCGTTATGATCTGCACAATACACACCAGGTTTTACACGGTATTCTGAAAATTATCATCATGTTTAACCTGTGTAAATAATTTATAACATTCAAGTTATATATTTTAAACAAGTAAAATTACTGTATATATACTGCATTTGTGTGTGTGCATGCACATACATACATTATACAGTATATGCATCATGATTGATCTATGAAAAAGGAAACTAATACTTTATTATAATGAATTATGTTTTATTAAGAAGTGTTAACATCTAACAATGAAAAATGCTGTATAGAACAAATCAGCTGGGAAATTAAGAAAACTTTGGTAAACTGGTAAACTTACCTGATATATTATTCTTAGCAAGATAATTAGTTTTCAGGTCACAGGCGTTAAGTTCAGGGTCATACCAGTAGTGTCTGTAGAAGTTAAAAAAAAATTATGAAATCAAATAAGATTTGAGTCCAAGGCTACTTAAGTAAACTACTCGTTCTTGAGTGTAAGGAGTTTGTAAGAAAAAAAAATTAGCAAACCATATTTTATTTCACATGACAACTAGCTCAGCTACAATATGTAGCTCAGCTCCTAGATAGGAGCTGCGTCGTATGGGCCAATAGGCCTTCTACAGTTACCTTTATTCTTATGTAATATACACGAACATAAATAAGATTAGAAAACAATGATAACATACTTGTTGCATATGCATTGCCCTGATTTGCAAAGCTGATGTTTTGTGTAGTCACAGATGCGAACCACATCCGATAATTCTCCTCTATAGCATCTCTTCTTAATGTTTTGTAGCTTTACTAAGTGACAAATAAAAATCAGGCATTAACTGTAATGAAATGCCCTTTACTGATTTGCTACTCAGTAGCTCCCAGCAGCTGGAATACCAGGTCTGCTAAGCATTCCCGAATTGCACTAGTTTTAAGACCCTCTTGAGCCTTTCATGAAACAGGACCAAAATCTGGTGGCATAAGGCAAAGGGAGCTTAGGGATCGGAGATCTACCTAAAACCAAGAAAAACCCACCAGAAAGTGTATGAGTGTTAAAACAAGCCACTGTTTGAAGGAAATTAATAGCTCCGAGGAAAGCAGGAAATGGAACAAGAGAGAGCAATGGTCCTGCACAGAATGAAATGTTCCAAGGATAGCAAACACTGCTTACCTGATTGCATGAAGCTGAATGTGGGGCCCAGTAAACATGTGTTCCAAACAGCATCAGACAAGTGAATGAGGTGGTTGGGTGGTAGGGACCTCAGGTAGCCTGAGCTGCCATCTAGTGACAGTCAGGCATATCAAGACTAGGGGTAAATTTCCACTGCAATGGTTGCTTGCCATGTTCTCCACAAAGTTACCGGTTTCCTTCAAGCAGTTGCTTTTCTGGAAGGTCCAAATGGCGGCTCCCTGTAACTAGCTACACTGAGATGGCTTCCCACACACAATTCACATTAGTCCTTGCAAGTCCTTAATTGCCTATTGGAGACCAGAGGCTAATACCTAGCACCCCTCTCACAGAGGCACAGAGAGCTGGAGATTCACTCAAACTCTCACTGAAGAAACACCCCCCCCCCCAAAAAAAAAGGAAACAAAGCAAAACAGGCAACTGCAAGATTCACAGAAAGTAAACAATGTAGCAAATGACCCAGCAAACAATCCACCCACTTGTTAGGTCATACACCCTTTGTAACAGCTAATCATCACCAGCTAAGTGTTGGCCATCCTTTGAACTCTTATGTTGGGGGGGGGGGGTAAATTTGCTAGTGTATTGTTTTGTTATATAGTATTTGCTGTACATGTGTGTGTTTATACACCTCACTCATTGTGGTGTAGACTTTGGAAACTATTCACCTTGAGTTGCATTTGCCTGGGGCAGCCTTCCATAAGTGCTGTTTAATTAGGCCTCCTCCAGCATGATATCCTAAGGCATGGTGACTGTCAATTGCCTCAGGCCTTGAATCATGTAACCAACCCATGCCCTAGGGCCTGAATTGTGTGTTCTCACCTTGTGATATAGATGTCACGGGTCCGTCTAATTACCACAAGCTACCACAAGCTACACAAGCTTCAGAAAGCTTCCTGGCAATACGTTAGTAATGAATAAATATGATATCTTAGGTTAGGCTGACCTGACCTAACCTAACCTATCCTAACCTATCCTAACCTAACTTAACCAAACCAAACCTAACCTAACCTAACCGAAGCTTGGATCGTCGACTTCATTTGGCGTCACCAGCTTTTTATTTTCGTCTAATTTCTTTATAAAAAGATACTTTTTCAGATAAAAATTAAGTTTTTTTGTGTTGTACATTCAGCACCAACATTATAATGAGTAAATATATCATATTTATTCATTACTAACGTATTGCCAGGAAGCTTTCTGAAGCTTGTGTAGCTTGTGGTAATTAGACGGACCGGATGTCACAGTCTTAGATGCCTGCCTAGATGCCTGTGACATCTAGGAGGCAGGGTATATAAAGAGCTAGATCTTAATCCTGATAGTCACTGATAGGTAAGTACTGATAGGTAAGCACATGGTCTCATACCATTGTTTTCCTCCATATATATGGCTGTGCAATGGATGTGAAACAGCTGTTATTAAGGTGTGTATGACCAAGCTGCTGGGTGGATCGTTTGCCAAGTTTTTGTTGCATTGTTTGCTTACTCTGAGTTTTGCAACTGTGTTTTGCTACACTTCCTTTCTGGGGATTTGTTTCCTCAGTGAGAGTGAGAGTGAATCTCCCTGCTCCCTTTATGAGGGGAGCTTGGGTTTGGACTTTGGTAGGCTATGAAAGGCTCACAAGAGCTGATGTGACCTAAAGGTGTAATTACCTTTCCACGTAATTTTGTATGTTGAGTGTGTGGCATATTTTCTCCTACTCCACATTCCACAACATGGCATTTATTCACACTGAATTCCATTTGTCAAGGGTTGCTCCATACACTTTTGTCTAGGTTATCTTGAAGGGCATAATAATCTTCCAAGTCTCCCATCTTCCCTAGTAGCTTGGCATCATCAGCATGTTAATATAATTCCGCATTCCTTCTGGTAGATTTTTTTTTTTTTTTTTTTTGAGATATATACAAGAGTTGTTACATTCTTGTACAGCCACTAGTACGCGTAGCATTTCGGGCAAGTCCTTAATCCTATGGTCCCTGGAATAGGATCCCCTGCCGCGAAGAATCGTTTTTTCATCCAAGTACACATTTTACTGTTGCGTTAAACAGAGGCTACAGTTAAGGAATTGCGCCCAGTAAATCCTCCCCGGCCAGGATACGAACCCATGACATAGCGCTCGCGGAACGCCAGGCGAGTGTCTTACCACTACACCACGGAGACTGCCAAACAGTCAGATCATTTATATAGTTATAATATGGAGTTATCTCAATGAGGCTAGCTACAGGGAACCAATGAGCATTCCTGCCCCTCAGAAAGAGGTGTTTCATTACATTCAACCCCTATTTTGTGTATGCCTTTAGACTACCTTGTGGATTATTCTGGGCTTTGTGTTAATCTCTTAACCCAGCTTCCCTCACTAAAGAGAGAGAGCAAGATTTTGGTCCTGGTCACAAGAGGCTCTAGCAGGTCTCAAGAATCTTGGTGAAATCAGTAAGACTCGACAGCCCCAGTAGATTTGCTACGAGGAATTACTCAGTGGGCCCCTCCAACAAATATAATTAAAAATCCACCTTAATATGAATAATGCAGTGAATAATACTGTGAATAATGTAATATATAATACTATTACAGTACAGAATCTGAAACATTCAGAGTTTTTTATATACTGTATACAGTACTAAATACTGTACATATACTGTATATTCAGTAAAATGCCATACAGTGCATTTTCCAAATTTTTTATTTGTAGATATTTTCTGATAGATATAATACAGAATAAAATTGACAAATGAATGAAAATTATAATTTAAATCCATTTATGTCCATTTCCTTTTTTGCTACCAACACATGCTTACCTTTTCTACATTTTCCATTAAGAGCGAGAGACTGATCTTCTATGCTGCAGTTGGATATGTTGTTGCAACGCGTGTTGTTACATATACTTATATGTCCTGGAATTACTGTCAAATAGAAGTCCCATTACAAAATTTTTCTGAACTAGGACACTGCTGAGCATCCGTTAAGCAATGTTACATACAACAGTGAGGTCAGGCCAATGAATTACTCAATCCTGCTAAGCTATAAATAGAGTTTAGGCAGATACTGAGAATTTCCCTATTCAGCTCAGAATGACCCCAGAAAAGTTAATTCATCTATACTCAAAATCCACTCCAAGTGATACTCAGCTAATTGATAGTTGGCTCACCTGCTGTAGTGTGGTTTGTAACATCTAGACATTACTACTGGTGAGCTATCAAGGACCTCACCAGAAAAAGGCATTTCATTATACAGTATTGTATTCAACAATGGGTTTTCGGGCTTCGTAACTGACGTCCATGTCTTCTTAGCTGGTAGTGGAATTTGGTTTAATTTCTCTACTTTATACCACAAATAAGCATTCCCTATTAATTTCAACATCTCTGTATTTAATTGTCATGGATATTTTCAGTTGAAGAAGTAACCGAGTTGCCTAGCTCATAAATAAGGCTTTGAACATACAGCACTGTAGTTGAAAGCTCTATTTTTGAGCAGATTATTCAGTTGCTCCCATTTACTAGTAATTTTCATATGCTGTCTTGGGTACTAATCAGGCATAATATGAGGAAGGCAACTCCTTACTACTCTGATGACAATTAAGGTGGTGACATTTGATAGTGGTATGGCCAAATTATTTATTAGTGGTCTCTTTGAGACTGAGTACTGCTTGGAGAACAAGCCTCAATGTAGGACTGAAAACAGATGTTTTTTCACTCACAGGGATACAAACCCATGGAACCACCTACCCGTCGAAGCCGTAAGTGCCAAAACTCTGCTGAACTTTTAAAATCCAGCTAGAAAAAATCATCAGGACAAATGAGGCGGGACCTTTGACAAGCCACTGGCTTCCTGTCCTTGTCAAGGCCAATAAAGTGTTAGTGGCTCTCAGGTAAATTCAGAAGGTTTTGTGTATAGATTTATAAATATTCCAGAGGCTATTCTAGGCTTGGTAAGAGAATCTCCTTGGGACCTGAACCCTACCAATAACTTGGCAGTGGTATCTGAAGAAAAAACAGACTCGCACCATCTTTTTTGTGTACATCTCAAGTTGCCTTACAATTATGTTGAATATTTTGTATTTCTTTTAAAACACTGTAAATCTTAATTGTCTAAAAATATAAGTAGCATTTCTGAGGGTAGAAAATCTCTATTTAAAATAGTATGAATGAAAGTAAAATTTCCTTGTTTACCTGTAAAATAAATGCTAACTTTAAAAATTCTATGCATACTACTTAAAGCGAGTTTGAAATGCAATAAATACATAATTAAGCCATTTGTGGCTTCCAGAATCAAAATTATATTTTGCATTACTACAAATAATTACTACAGCTACCTTACTGTGAATGCCATGTAAAAGATATTCATTGCTGACCTCTACTACAAGTTAATGTGAAATCAGAGTCCAGAGATAGCTCGTGGTCAGCATCACAGAGACAAAGGTTGTCGACACACTCCTCCTTAGTACCACACCCTTGTTCACAATCATCTCCCACATTGCCATCTGTCAAAACAATATTGAGATTTACAATGTAGTACTGTACTTAATATTGCACTTTGTAACCTTAATTTCACCAATTATAACAATACTGTAATGACTTCAAATTATGCACAATAAAATGCACAGCTTAGAGAATTGAACTAGCATATAGGGAGACTCATACAATTGATATGTTCAAGCTCTTTTAGATTTATTTATTTTTATTTATTTATTTATTTATATACAAGAAGGTATATTGGGTTTGTGAGAACACATAGCATGGTAATTTACAATCTTGTAAAGTCACTAGTACGTGCAGCGTTTCGGGCAGATAGCCCCTGGCTGCACCAAGAAATGTATGGCAGAGCTTAACCCCTAAACCACTCCCACCCTTGTCAATGGCTCTTTAACTCTCACACCCTGCTAAGGTGAGCATGGAATAATATAGTAATAATAATAATTAATAATAATTTATTTTGTCAGGGGTCAGGAAGCCCCTCTATTCTATATATACTGTTTATACACAGTATGCATATGTGTATAAACAGTCTTGTATCAAAGTCCCCCCTCCCCCAGATTAAAATATTAGATTAGAATAGATTAGAAAAAATTGTTTATTTAGGTAAAGGTACATACATAGAAAATGAGTTACAAACAATGTTGGATTTAAAGACCCTTCCTAGGACATAAGACCATTATACTTGGCTAACTCCCGAGTTAACTTATTTACTGCTAAGCAAACAGAAGTATTAAGTGAAAGGAAACATGTCCAATCACATGTCCTGCCGGGGAATCTATGTTACCTATCCAGTCAGTGGCCAGGCCAAACAGTGCCTAACCTGTCTGACTGCAGCACCATGCATAACATTACCTGTGTAACTTTACCTTTTTTTCTGTGTAACTAGCTTATCAGATTGCAATTAGCTTAGGAAAATTAATTATTAAATGAATTTGGGGTTCAGTTCTAGACTATAATGTACTTCTGTAACCTGCACTATCGCCCACGGGATGGGTATGGGGTGCATAATAAATTAACAAAATCCAATCATACCACCTAAATATTGCAGACATTCGCCAGATATCATTCACTTATTATTAACATGTCATTACCTGTATAATGAAGTAAATATAATGCAATGTATAGAACTGTGTGGATTGTGCCAACCAATTGACATTGCAGAACTTTCATTGCTGTTCCCACACAAGTTAGTCTTGCTTAGCTTGCTATACTCTATTGTTTATCTTGCTTTCTTATTTAACATTGGTGTGAACTGGTGAGATAACCATGGAGGCAACACAACACATTAACAATGTTAACTGCAGCTGGTTGTGTGGTGTGAGAGCCTCTAGTCTACACTCTACTGTAGTCTACACTCTACTGTAGTCTACGCTCTACTGCTGTCTCCTATACGCCTTCATCGACTTTATCAGTAAGACGTTTATTATAAATTCTATAAATCACTTATTTTCAAAATATAAATTATATGTATAAAATACCATATTGAGGTGCGAGCATTATAAAAACCAACACAAATTACATAAAAAACAAAAACACCTCAACATCTTAAACTTTTCTTAACTTATGAGAAAAGTAGGAAAACTATGACGTCCGGGATGTTGTGACATCCAGCGGGCCACCTGCACGCACGCTGGCTGAGTGCAAGCATTGTCAGTCTCAGTAAACTAAATATTCCTGGTGTATGCACTGTATTAACCAATGATATCCCATTATATATATATATTTGTATCCTTATATGTATTCTTATATGTGCTATCAATCTGCTGTATGGTGTCTATTAATCTTGTTTAAGTTAGCAATCAAGCTGTCAATGTAATCAATCAGAGCTTTAATATACCAAGGTGCTTTAATATACCTACTAATCTCTCTCATCTCATTTTTTTCTTGCAATGTATCTATTATTTTATTAATTCTGCTAGAATTTACCTACTTAAAATTATGTTAGATTAAGGACCTGCCCGAAACGCTGCGCGTACTAGTGGCTTTACAAGATTGTAAATACTATATGCTATGTATTCTCACAAACCCAATGTACCTTCTTGTATATAAATAAATAAATAAATAAATAAATAAATAAAATATATATCCTAAAATACAAGTGTCTTACATGCCCATCTGCAAAAAGAGTAAGGAAAACCCAGCACTCCTGGAAGCAACAATTGAAACCATTGATTCCTTTATAAATAAATTATGGCCTCACGAGCACTATGCTTACGCTTATGGATCTGTTCAAATGTCAACAGGTCGCACTCCAGCAGCCTGTAGGATATACAAATATATTCCAATCATGGAATATGCAGCTCCAGCCTGTCCATACCTAGTTAATCACAAGACAAAGTTAGAGAAAATTCAGAGGTATGCCACCAGACTCGTCCCGGAACTGAGAGGTATGAGCTACGAGGAAAGGCTAAGGGAGCTGAACCTCACGTCCCTGGAAAACAGAAGAGTAAGGGGAGACATGATAACCCCCTACAAAATTCTCAGGGAAATTGACAGGATGGACAAAGACAAACTCTTCAGCACGGATGGAATGCGAACAAGGGGGCACAGGTGGAAACTTAGTACCCAAATGATCCACAGAGACATTAGAATGAATTTTTGTCAGTGTCAGAGTAGTTAACAAATGGAATGCATTAAGCAGTGATGTGGTGGAGGCTGACCCCATACACAGTCTCAAATGTAGATTTGATAGACCCCAGTAGGCTCAGGAATCTGTACACCAATTGATTGATGTACAAAGCTGAACCCCCGAAACCACAACTAGGTGAGTACAAAGAAAACATATGCACACAGACCACATGTGTGAGCCTGAATAACTGGCTTTGCTCTTCATATTCAGAATTAGCTGCACTACAACTTGCAACTAATGCACTGAAGAACAGTGGAGGAGTAATTTTGTGTGATTCAACGTCAGCTCTTCAGGACCTTAAAACCCCAACAAGCAAAATAGACACTAGGAATGTTGTAACATCCATTATAAACAACATTATTAATGCAAAGAACAAGAGTTTCAGAGTCTCATTTGTATGGATATTATCTCACATAGGTGTTGTCCAGCATGACACAGACAAGGCAGCTAAAACTGCATGTGATAAGCCTGAAGTTGAGTTGGATATGGGCATTCCAATTTCTGCTGTAAAAGCCGCAATATTTCAGGAAATTAAGGAAGACAGAAAAACAGTTACTGACACTCAAAGGCAGAAAGCAGCTCTTTATAAAGAGCTGTGACATGTTTAGAACCGAGACTTAAATGTGCGGACAGCATAAAACATCCACTAGACAGTGTGACATTGTAATTGCCAGAATTAGGCTGGGATATCGATATCTATGGCGGGTGGCTGCAGGTAATGAATCCTTCAATGGTGAACATTCACATTGTAAAATATGTGAACAAGAACTAGGACATACTCTCCAACACTATATCTGTGATTATAAGAGACTTCAGACCTAATGGTATGAGGTACATGGAGCTCTGTAATTACAGTACTTCATACACTCAGGAATATTGGAAGATATTCTTCTGTTGTGCCCAGATTTTACTAGTGGAGGTTAATAGAGCAGTCTTACATTTCATGTTCTCTCCCGATTTAATGTATGACTAACCAATATGATCAGAATTCGTAAGTTCTTAGCTTTTAGATAGTAGTATACTGACTAGTAAGGAATTCTTTTAAAATAAATTAAGTTAAAACACAAACTTAAATATTCCTAGGCTTAAAATAATAATTATAATAATAATAATTTATTTAGGAACAGTACATACATAGTTACAGTACAAACATTCTGTTAGATTTAAAGATAGAGGTAGTACTTACAATACCTAAAGCCACTAGTACGCATAGCGTTTCGGGCAAAATAGCACACATATGTACTATATTAGGCCTCAGATATCGTGTATTATGCCTAAGGAGGTTAAAATTGTCAAAGCAACACAAGTAAAAATTAGTTTTCCGGTTTGTCTAACTTTAGAGTTTCTACGTTCTAATTTCATTGTACATTGATATATATACTATGGTCCTCGTCGTTGTTATAAGTTTTTTTTTGGTTTAGTTCATTTATTATGCACCCCATACCCATCTTGTGGGCGGTAGTGGAAAGGGTTACAGAGGCACATAATGGGCTCAGGGACTGAACCCCACAATTCATTTAGCTAAGCAAGTTATAAGTACTTCGAAAACAGAAGAATGGGCTGGTATATTAAATGAACTTATAACTAGTTTTTGACCTACACTATGTAATCTTTCATACAGAATAGGGTAGCAGCACATTGCTGTGTATACCTTAGCTTGCTAATAATACAAAAAAAAAATCGCCGGAAACGGTGTACACATTATAGTGGCTTCAGTTTTTTTATTAACAGGCTCAGGTATACACAGCAATGTGCTGCTACCCTATTTTATATGAAAGATTACATAGTGTAGCTCAAAAACTTGCTATAAGTTCATTTTTGTACCCTATTCTGTATGTATGTTATTGCACAAAGAAATCACATTAACATGATGTATCAATGATAAAATCAGTAGGAGCCATGAGGATGATTCGAACCTGTGCCCAAACAAACGCCTACACTATGACATGGTAAAAAAAAATTCAACCTGGGATTCAAATAAATCCTCAAGGATTCCCTAGGGTTCCACTGGGAGTGCTTGAGAGACCCTTCCCGCCCTCAGGAAGGGTCTATAATAAGCAAGTGAAACTATAACTGGTGGATTTCCCTAAATTGTATTTAAGGCCACAATATAGTGAAGAAGCAGGTTCTATAATTGGTATTTACGGGAGGTCATCATATACTGAAAAGACGGGTTTAATTAATACGGCGATATTATGATTATATTTAATGAAAGTAAGCACAAAATACAATTAATTTTCCTTTTTAAACACTTATGAGGTTAAATTAATAAACGAAGTGTTGATCATTTAATCCACACACACGTTATACAAATATAAAACTGATATAAACTTAGATATTGCTAATTCCAGCACTAAAGCTTTTGTAGAAAATATCCAACAATTAATGCTTAAAAGGAAGAAATCTCTGATATTTACTTAGGTCAGAGTTATGCACGGACAAGACAAAACGTCCATTATAAAGTATGATATAGTAATTACCAGTATATACATATACTGGTAATTCTATATTACTTTATTACTAATATTAAGTAAGTTTGTCAATAAAAAAAAGTGTCGTACGATATCATGTTATCTTAAGTTGGAGTGGGCCGAGGAAGCTTCATCTGCGTTTAGCCAGTTGGAGGTAGAGCCTTACTGAAAGGCAGCTTGGGAAGTGTAAAGTTCCCGGGGAATGTACCGTTCCCGGGTAATGTAAAGTTCTTGGGGAATGTACCGTTCCCGGGTAATGTAAAGTTCTTGGGGAATGTAAAGTTCCCGGGAAAGAGTGATGAGATTGGAGGCTTCGGGAAAGGGTTCGTTTGTGGCAGAGCGAAGACAGCCGCCACAAGAAGGACCCCTGACAGTATCAAGACCTTCATCTCGGAGCAGGAACACTGCGGGCACAGAACACACACATTAGTCTCTTAAACGCCGAAGAACATATAAAGATAAGCAAAATAAATAATTAACTAATAGGCTTAAAATTGTAGAAATACGAAACTACTTGGTGGTAACCATCAATCAGCTCTTAAAAGATACTCACTTTTCAATAAAATCCTCGGTGAATTTTATACTTTAGGCATCAAATGCATTATGTCTTTTTACTCTTTTATGATGTCTATATAGTTACCCCTGAGTCAGGCTTCTAGGCCTGGCGTTTCTCTTAATAATTACTTACAGGTTCTCACATACACACTGAATAAACAAACGAAAAAGTGTACACAGTGAGCATAGATTGATTGATTATTTTTGTGCATAGAAGTATGCAATCATAACATTTTAGGCCTGAACTTAGTAAAGTTTAATTTCACTAACCCCATACAAATAGTAACAAAATTTTGTTAATTATGAAACTGCTATACAAAATCCCGTATTATATACCTTATTCTACGCCTAATACACGATATTTTCTCACTTAGGGTGCCAGTGAATGATGTTGCTATTATTAAATATAAACCTGCATCTTGCATATTTAAATCTTTAAAATGCTGCATGTTCCGGCACTTCTCTGTCACCTGTGCACTCGGTATCTTTTAATTTTGAACTATTAGACAATGTAGCAGGACTTACAGACACTACACGAGAAACAAGTATATCTTTCATGTACAATGAAATCTCTAGAACGTGATGTATCTGAGAAAACACTTGAGGCTGTACAATGGAATCGAACCCGCGTTGTTGCTTTTGTTGTTGTTACCAAATACCTTTGTTGTTCCATCATCAGTGCTTTCTCCACACCTTGCTTCACCCAAAGCTGAAACGCCATGTGTATAAAAGGTTAGCAAACTTTGTTGTTGTTTTTCGGGCTCACCATAGCCCGTGCTACATGGACACTTCGTTCTGAGTAGCTAAATCTAAAACAACAACATTGTTGTTATTTGATTTAAAGGCCACGATGGCAGGTTGCTCCAGCATTCCCTTGGAGTCAAACGCAAAGCTTTGCGACAGTATACACGTTGCCAGTCTGGGAAAACTAACGCGCTTTAGGACAGATAACGCACTCTACCAGGAAGCTGATGGAGCTCAGTGTATAATTAATGAAACTTTGAAGTTAATGTAAAATAGTTCAATGTGAAATAAATTAAATGCAAATGCATGTTATGTCTAGCATTAGATTCATATTGAGTTTTGTTTGATATAAAACACACACAGCAGCTGGGTTAAGCCCTGGCACTTTGTGTATTTGTATACAGGGTATGTCGAAGCTAGTCACAATTGCATTTCTCCTTTGTAAATGTACATTAATGACACTATGTAAAAAAGACACCTCGAACACTGTTTATGTAGGGCAGACGTAAATCTGTGTATTTATTTATGTTTGTAGGTTAGCTTAGCATTTTAAAAGCACTACAATCACCTTCTGTGGTTGATTGTTTAATAAATCTCTGAATTATATGTTTAACAGATCACTAACCCTGTCCATGGAGGACAGAAGAAAATGTATATATGCTGATTAGCATCGTAAATGCGTGGCCATGTCTGTGTTAGAAAATAATAATAATAATAAAAGATTACTCTCCGAAGTTGATTAAAAAACCGAGTTGCGTCACGTGCTTTTCGGTAGTCTACGAGGACGCAAGAAATAAGATCTGGATGGTGTCTGACTAGCGAGGGACTCACCTGAGCTGGGCTGAAGAACAGAGGAGCGCTGGGATACCTGGCCGTCTGTGTCTCCTTCAGTACCTGCCCGGGTTTATATACGGTTGAGGCTGCGTTTCCTGCAGCGTCAGTAATGAGTGTGCACCTATTGTGGGCCCCACCAGCCCTTCAATCACAACCAACCTCAGAAAGATCCTCACTAGTCTTCACTCACTGAGAATGAGGGAAAAATTGCTTGTGTATCATAATCCTCCCGGCTTGGCATATTTTAATAATCACTGAGAGGGGTATTCATCATGTCTACAGCCACGTTATTTCGACTCATCGTCAAACCTTCTATATTTTATTCGGTAATAAATTATCAAATTCACCTAAGAACTAACAGTATCCAAATTAGCAACAGAGTAGATGGTAAATTCCTTAGTGTTCTCATTGATAACAAGTTGAATTTCCAGTGTCATCTACTAAATATAGCAAACAAATCTAATACAATTGGCATTCTTTCTAAAATCGGATACTATGTCAAAAATAAAAAATAAAAAGGTTTATTCAGGTAAAAGTACATACATAGAAGATGAGTTACAGACAGACTGTTGGTTTTATAGATAGAGCTAGTACATACAATACCTAAAGTCATTTAAGACACTAAAGCTTAATACTAATTGAGATTAAAGTATAAATTGTGTTGAAAAAGGGGAAAAAAGGGGGGGAGCGGACACGGCAGAAATCAGCAATTTTACAACTTGGTCAACAAACAGTATTGTTTGAAAATAGCAAGACATGGGTTGACATTTAGGGGGTAAGTAGGTTACATGGAGTTTATTAGGTAGAATTTGGTTTTTCTCTTAAACTGGTTGAGAGAGGTACAGCCTTTGACATGAATGGGAAGGTCGTTCCATATTCTGGGTCCCCTTGACTTGTAGAGCATTTCTAGTTTGGTTAAGGCACTCTCTTGGAATATCAAATAGGTATTTGTTTTTGGTGAGGTGCCCATGGGTTCTGTTACAACCTTCTAGGAAGTGTTTAAGGTCAGGATTGACATTACAGTTCAGAGTTTTAAATATATAGAGTCCACATGAGAGGATGTGCAGTGACTTAATATTTAACATATTAAAAGATTTAAGTAAGGGTGCAGAGTGCTGTCTGGGGCCAGAGTTTGATATTGTTCTAATAGCAGCTTTGTGTTGAGTAATTAGAGGACGTAAAGGATTTTGGGTAGTAGAACCCCAAGCACATATACTATAGTTGAGATAGGGATAGATGAGAGAGTAATAGAGCGTCAACAGGGCAGGGCGAGTTACATAATATCTGATCTATTACTATTGTAATCAATGCTGTTTGTAGACCAACTTGTATAATTGCCTCTGCCTTGTTCCCCCCTCTTTTTTTTTAACACAATTTATATCTTAAGCTCAATTACTATTAAGTTTTAGTCTATGTGTTTTTTCTCTCACCTTGCCCGAAACTCTATGCGTACTAGCGGCTTTAGGCATTGTATGTACTAGCTCTATCTACTAGCTCTATCTTTAAATCCAGCATTATGTATGTAACTCAATGTATGTACCCTTACCTGAATAAAAAAAATCTAAATCTAAATCTAAAATTTTAGAAAAAATGCCAACAGTTTTAGAATTTTTTTTTCAATATATTACCAGTATCTATAAGATTCCTCTGTAATGTATTTTTGACCCTTGCCGTCCCCTAGACATCCATCATTCTTTTTGTACCCAATTCTGTATGTATGAACTTTTACTTAAATGAAAATTATTGAATTATATATACTATTATTATTGCAAAAAGAAATCACATTAACATGATTTATTATTATTATTATTATTTTCTACCACAGACTTGGCCACACATTTACAATGGTAACTAGCATATATACATTTTCTTCTGTCCTCCATGGACAAGGTGAGAGATTTGTCAAACATACAGTTCAGAGATTTATTGAACAACCACAGGTGATCGTAGTGCTTTTAAAATGTTAGGCTAAGCTACATACGTAAATACATAGATACACAGATTTATGAATGCATTAATGTGAATTTATAATGGTGAAATGTAATTCTGATCAGCTTCCACATATACTTTATACACATACATACATACACATATATTTGTCTCTTTTACTCTGACAGGGTGAGATAGCTGACAGAGAACCTATGTGTGCAATTAAGAACTTAACCACTGAAGGTGATTAAGATGCTTTTACAAGCTCAGCAGGTTATATAGTTACATTACATGGTCAATCTAGGGTACAAGTCCAATATATCATCAAGTGTTTCAGTACTCATATAGTAGTTACAGAGTTCAGCATACCTCAGCCCAGGAGGGCGAGTCAGACAATATGGGACATTCTACAATATAATGTTCAAGTGAGTGCATGTTTTCTCTTTCACAAAGTTGACACATTGTGTACTCGACATTTGGGTTTTGAGAGACCTGCTAGATACGTCTATATCCCAGGCGTATTCTGGCAACTATGATATCACATTGCCGAGTTCTTGCTCTATTAGTTCCATATGTGAATGTCTCCTCACGATATCTATCATAATATTTAATACTGCAACTTTCAGGTCTTTGTGAATTTGTTAGGTCGGTGAGATCTTCATTAGATATTTGTTTAAGTATTCTCTTTGTCACTGCTAGTGAAACAGCCATATCAATTTTTACTACTGGTTTTCTACTGGCTGTCTTTGCAAGCATATCAACAGTGTCATACCTTAAGATGCCAACATGTGATGGTATCCATAGAAATTTAATTTCAAATCTGTTTTCTTTAGCAGCTAAAACATTCATTCGAATATCACTGACTATTGTCTGGATGTCACTACTATGTGCGTTCAATGCCGAGTGCACTCTGCGAGTCACAGTATATAATTCCACTGCCTTTGTCTTTTAAAAATTCAGTGGCAAGGTATATGCCTGCAAGTTCGGTTTGAGTTGTACTTGCCCAGTCATTGACGCGCTTCATTGCTGTATGTACTGGAGAAGATTGTTAAAATATATTATGCGCATCAAATATATTATGCGCATATGTACCGGATGCGCATCCGGTACATCGTCCACCTTCTTCTACAGAACCGTCGGTATAGCACTGATACACATCGTTACCCATACCCTGAGAACTCTTAGTGATGCTTTTCAGTGTTATCTGTTTTAATAATGTAGAGTGTACACTATCTTTCTTGGGTGTATTTACAAAATTAACTGATAGATCCCAGTTATCCCATGGAGTAATTGGTTGATTAATCATTAATTAAGTTGGGTACATATTTAATATTTTGATGGAATTGGCTACCTTGTAGAACCAAAATGCATAATCAGATTTCGCTCTTCTTCTATAGACCTCAGGTGAGTGTAGCATTTTAGAAAGTTTAGCTTGAAACTTCATGTGTTACCGAGATCTACTCAACGCCTTCACGCCGAAACCTGTGCTAATGGACAAAATTCTTTCACTTATGGTATGTAATTTTAACTCTGCTCTCATATTAACTATTCTCGTGGACTTTGGAGCCCCAAGGATGAGACGCATAGCTTTATTTTGCAAGGTTTCAAGAGATTTCAGCTCTTTGTCTGTATACAGTGTGAGATGTAGAGCATTGTAGTCAATCACAGAGCGTATAAATGATACATAAAACATTCTAGCAAGTTTCACGTTAATTCCATGATTGACACCAACAAGGACCCTCAAGGGCCATTAACATGATGTATCAATGATAAAATCAGTAGGAGCCATGAGGAGGATTCGAACCTGTGCCCAAACAAATGCCTACACTATGACATGGTAAAAAAAAATTGTAACCTGGGATTCAACTAAATCCTCTAGCTAACGTCTAGCTGGGAGGAGGTGCAGCCAGACCGGCGACCAATCAGCGGAGCCGTAGCGATCAACGGGTAGTTTGGTGGTTGGAGTTCGAACAGGTGGCTGGCTGCATACGTTTTTGCTCACCCTGGCAAGCCTTGCTGGTGTTGTTGTCGTTGTTGGACATTTCTTCCATAGTCTTTTTATATAATTGTGAAGACGTAATTATGGAGGGAAGAGCAGGCTCAATCTCTTGAAGGAGATTATCGTCACAACTCTCCCCCGAAGCCTGCGGTTCTGGAAGAAGTACGTCGTTATGTGGTGGAGTAATGGATGGAGTTGCTTCTACTTCATAAACTCTGGAGATATCATGGGCTAAGATGTTGTCAGACTCTTGGTATAGCGTGTCTCCAGGTTGAATTTCTGCAGTTAGCAAGCCCATAGTAGAAGACGTTGAGATGAGAAGTGGGCGTGCTGCAGGAGGTGTAGGGTGGTGTGGTCCGTATTGATGGTGGACCGAGCACTTTTCAGGTGTGGAGTGAAGTGCTGAAGCTTCAGGATGAGGAAGAGTAGCTCCTTGCCAATTGTTCCGTCGTTCCTTGTAGCAGTAGTCGCTGACAGGTGTATTCTTCTCGCCTCGTTGCTGCATCACGACACCACCATCGTCGGTACCATTGGCGTCGACATGGAGGATGTAGGGCTTATCTGACGAGGTGAGAGTGGAATTAGAAGAGGGCATAGGAGCACGAGTATTATCCTGAAAGCATTTGGGAAGATCATTAAGGATTTTGGAATTAGAAAGCGCCGACTCCTTGTCAGTGCTTTCGGGAGAAGAAGCCGGGATGGTCTCACTGTGGATGTAGGGTTCTGTGAAGGTAGAACAATTAATCAAGACAGTGGGAGGAGTACCATTATATTGCTTCAAGAGGTTGACGTGGCACAGCTGGGTCTTCCGCCGCCTATCTGGAGTCTCTATGACGTATGTGTTGTTGTTTCTGCACTCTTTGACGCAGTAGGGTCCTGAAAATTTGTTTTGTAAAGGTGAACCTGGGATAGGGAAATAAGCAAGGACGAAGTCTCCCGGCTTGAATTTTCTTACTTTGCTGGTCTGGTCGTAATGAGTCTTCATTCTCACCTGGGCTTTCAATAGATTATCATGGGCAAAGCGGTGGACTCTCTCTAGAATGTGCTGAAGGTTTTGAAGAAACGGGCACATTCTGATGCTCACTGAAGGTGGCATCTCTGAGAGAGTCTTTGAAAGCCTTAAGGGGAGTACGGCACTTACGGCCGTAGAGCATCTCATAAGGAGATACTCCTAGGGACTCATTGGGGAGACTTCTGAAAATACACATTATTAGGTCAATCTGCTTATCCCAATCCTTCGAGGTTTCACTACAAAACTTTTTCAAGAGTGCTTTGATGGTCTGATGACTACGTTCAAGAGAACCCTGTGAAGCAGGATGATAGGGGCTGGACAATACCTGTTTGATGTTGAACTCCTCCAGTGTCCTTTTGAAGAGATCACTGGTGAAGTTGGTGCCACAGTCACTTTGAATCTCCCTGGGAAATCCGTATTG